TATACCAGGATTAAGATTAACGCACAAATACAATGTACTTGATCCACCTGAAAAGAGTCAATCTCAACATAGCACACCTAGTAGCGATGAAAGTAATTCACCGACCGAACTTAATTCCTGTAAAAAAATTACCGAAAAACCGCCTTTAATAAAAAGAATAGCAATGGGAATTACCGGTCTTCACAATACAGACGATGATAGTTGCCCTTTAGTTAATGGAGAGTCTCCAAGTAGTACACCTAATAGTCCCACGTCAAGGCCTCTTCTTGCAGGGTATGTTAATGAAATGGATAACGATAATGAAAATAAAAATATTAATAATACGAATAATAGTATAAAAGTAGAAATGGAAACTGTAACTTCTAATATTACTAAACATATAGAAATACAAGATAGATTATTACAAAGTTCGCCTGCGTCTACCGATCCAGAATTTAAGGCGAAACGAATATCACAAATTAGTTCCAGTAGTTCCAGCTCTTGTCCGCAAGGCGGTACCGAAAACTCATTTCTAGCCTTCACTCCCATACCACCTCCGCTTCCCGAAAGGACCGACTCCCTTACATACAAGGAAGAAGGAGAATTACGAACAGCGCCATGGTTTCAAGCGGGCATTCCTAGAGAAATCACCTTGGAAGTTTTGGGCCAAGAACCTGTCGGTGCTTTCATGGTACGAGAAAGCACAACTAAGCAAGGATGTTACGCGTTATCCCTTAGAGTTCCTAGAAGCTTTCAACCTTCCGGAATAGCGCATTATTTGATTATTAGAACAAACAAAGGCTTTAAAATTAAGGTAAGACTAATTCGCGCGTTGTACTTGACAAACGGAATCTCTTGCAGGGTTTCACGAAAGAATTTACAACCCTAACTTCCCTAATAACCCATCATTCTGTTATGCCGGAGCTGTTACCGTGCCCTCTATCTCTCAGTCGCTACAATCCCAGTTTCGTCAAGTCAGATTCTAGAAGAGACTTCGCCGACATTGATCTAGATCCTGACTATAACACTCTTGCGGATTTTAGAAAAATGATGGCCGATTTAAATATTTAATTTAAATAAGACTTTGATAAATTAAACTAGTCGTTGTGACCTTAATAAAAGTATATGTATATAAACAGTGTTCGATATTTAAAGACACAACTTGTGTACCTTGTGATATCTCAGAGTTAAAACGGCTGATTTTTAAATTAAGTGTTAATATTATTAATGTAATATTTTGTACTTATTTACTATGTGTAATTTTAAGAAAATCCAGTCAGTATGGAAACAAAGTATTTGTGTATAAATTCATTTTTTTTGTTTGAATCAATTGTTTTTAAATGTGTCCTATTAACAAATACTTTGTTTCATTCCGCAATTTGTTATCTCGTTTTGTTTGTAAGAAAATTGAAGCGCTTTCATTTTAATAACATTTTTTTTGTAATTCGGGGTATGTTGATATTACCTCTGGCTTAAGTATTTCAATATCCTTTAATTCTCTTTCATTGTGACTGTGTTATGCAAAAAGGTAAGATATGCTGGAAAAATTCATTAGATGGGATATTTTTGTAGCAGAACTAATGAGTAATGAATGTGAGTGTTCTGTTTACTCTTTTCTAGTCTAGCATAAAATATGAGTATATACTAACTGAAATACACGTTACACATATAACCCTTAACGCCCCTACAATTTGTTTGTGTAACTTTGTCACAGAAATTAAGTTCAAGTTCAAACTTTGTTTATATGCCACTATTTTTAGAAATGTTCGTTTTATTTTTTGCCCACATCGTTTGCCTATACATACTTTGATTTTTAAATATAAAATTTTAATTTTGTCACAAGCTCATTTTTATGTTCAAACGTAACTTACCTTTTTGTACTAAGTTATTAAAAGATAAGTGTCATGTAAAATATTAAGTTAAAAAACTACCTACATTACTACCTTCAAAGCTTTAACTGTACCACGTAATAGTGACTGGTTTATTACTTTAACATTTTCTTATTTCTATTGGGTCATTCTGTAAGTAATCAATCTCAAACTTGTTAATTTATTCAAATAACAATAAATAAACATTTGTTTTTATTTCCATTGGGTTCATAAAACTGTTAAACTGCAAATGGAGCTTTTTCAGGTAATTAAAAGTTAAAAATTTTTGAAGATGTTCCAATTCCTTCACTGATCTTTATCTCTTGGCGTTAGGTTGGTAAGATGATCACTTCAGTCAGGACTGCTAGAAACTGGCAACAGGCGGTTCTAGAATAATTCGACCCCGATGAAAACGATGCGCCCTGTTGCCAGATCCCATTTTGGCATTTAAGCCCCCAAATCCAAGATGGCGATTGAAATTGCCGCTTTTCCATTATTTCGAGCCCCCAAGGTACGCCACTGAACGTTTTGGGTACTCTTTACCGGTAGAATAACATCTAGTACACACGACGTTATGCATATTAAGTGCCAAAATGCCGCCTAAAAACTTCAAAAATGCAAAATTCGTCATTTTTCGTCCTTTCTGGCCTGGTGCCGGCGTCCAATATTTATTTCTATGTTAAAATTAACATTTAAATGTGTGGGGACCTCCCGCAGCGCCATATGCCAGAGGCCTAAATACAAATATGGTGCCTGGAAAGTCCAAAAACAGTGAAAAAGTCGTTTTTTTTGCCGTATTTTTACTACACACTCCGGTGGCCCGGAGGAGCAATAATATGCGAATTGTGACTACCAATCTGGATGTTACACATCTAAAGGCCTTAACTGCGAATAAGAGGACCCGTCTGCTATAAACGTTAACTTTGGAACCAAGACGCGAAGTTGGTTTGGCGGCGTAATTTCAAGGCAATATGGGTAAGTAAAAACATATGAAAACATACTGCCCAAGTTTTCTTTGATTTGTTTCAAACGTAACTTTTGGCAGTCGAAACTGTTTAGAATATTGAACACTAATATTACGCAAAATCCAAATCTTTATGGAAATGATTTTGCGTTTGAAACTACCCGCCACCATATACTCTTTTTTTTTCGGAACTTGTTCACGTTGCACTGAGTTACTTGAAATCTTTAAGAAGCGTTACAAATGGTATTAACGCCAGGCCAGCAAGAGCAAGGCAGTTACCATGGTAATGAAAAGCGTTTTCCTTTTTTATCGCTGCTGTTTGGAGGAAACGATGCTTTGACACAGATTGATGACGTGACTCACGGAAATGGTGAAAGTGCTACTTATTTTTAGTCAGTTATTTGAACACCGCCTGTGAAGCTTCACGGCGCCTTCTTTCTGCAACGGAGTGTGGATGGCGAATCCAGTATGATGCAATGAAACCAATTTTGATGTCACTTGAATCCATTCCTCGTGCGTGCATCCTCTTCGTGTCTTGTGGCTGCAAGGGAGGCTGCAAAACAAGACTCTACAAGTGTCGGCGGACACTTGACGGAGATGGAGAACCTCTTCCATGCAATCAGGCGTAGTGCAAATTGGTACAACAATGGCAGCGAAAGTAACATTTTTTCCCTAATGCCGTTTGCTATTGTTATATATGGCGAGTGAATCATTCTTATTCTTTACTGTACTGTAGATATCAATGATCAATCTGGGGAAACTGAGAACTAGGTGAAGTTAGGTACAAGACTGGAAACAACAGACTTAGTGGTCTTTGTTTGATGTCCGTACATAGACATTTTATAAAAGACAATCAGAAAGAGTTTGTTGAGAAGTGCATAGATCTCTTTGGAACAGATAATAGAAGAGTTATGTTTTTGTTTAAATAAAATGAAACGCAATAAGTTTGTTACTGGCACGTAACCTTGAGTTTGCATACCCTATCCCCTCCACTCACGTCCATATTAATGGTGAGCTTGCCCCCTCCTACAAAATTTCCTGGCGGCGCCCATGATGTTTTCACATATATTTTTACTTACCCAATGCCCTGAAATTAGCGCGCCAAACCCATTTCTACCTCTTGGTTCCATATTTAACATCCGCAGTTGCCAGTTAAGCCCTTCAGGTGTACAACATCCGGATTGGTAGCCGCAATTCGCATATTATTGCTCCGGGCCACCGAAATGGGGAATGAGTGGCAGTGTATAGTTAAAAATACGGCAAAAAAACTGTCACTGTTTTTAGACTTTCCAGGCATCATATTGGTATTTAGGCCCCAGGCATATGGCGCTGTTGGAGGTGCTACATACTTAAATGTTAAGTTTACCATAGAAATAAATATTGGGCGTCGAGAACAGGTCAAAAAGAAGAAGAAAAGACGAAAAATGACGAATTTTTGCATTTTTGACGTTGACTATGTCAAGAGCTACCTAATTTACATTAATATTCCTTTCCCCATTAGTGTACTTACTCTTTTGTCTTATTCGTATAAAGAAGTGTACGATATTTTCACGATTTTTTTTACTAAAGTCCAAAATGGAAATTTAAGACCAATTCAATTCAATAACAGTTCTGTGGCAAATAGACATGGTCTAATACCATTTAAAAATATTAGTTTATAATACAACGCGTCCCTAACACATACCTATATCTTTCAGTGTAAGAGAGAAGTTTCCTTAAGGCGCATGTTTTGCACGTTGAAAAGTAATTAAAAATCTAGATATGTTTTCGTTCCAAACATTGCAGTAGAAGAAGTTTTTTGACATTATCATAAACGTTTTGATTCGGAATTTTCATGTTAAATCAGAATTCCTCATGAGCGGACTTTTTGGACACTCCCGCTACCTTTGGATAGAATTTTAGGAAAATGATTATAAAATCAGCTAGGGCCTGGCAAATCGGTTACTTCGATCCTATTATCGCATATCTAGCTGCTGAGAAAAAGAAGTAAGGAAAATCCGTGCATTCTAAGGATTTCGTGGGCGTACTTAGATCCCAAACGAAGCATCTTGGATATTCAGTTTATTTGTAAAAATTACTTGCTTTGGCTCCTCTATTGCCCAACCATACTTAATCGTTGCATCCTGTATATTTTCTCAAAATGTTTCAATGTCGGGCCCAGACCTTCCCATCCCTGTATGTACGGCCGTAACCATAGACACTGTTGGTGACGAATAATTCTAACCTCAACCCAATATTTGCTTAAACGTGTTGTTAAAATGAAAGTGAAAGTTTTAAGCAGAAATCCTGACGATTATCTCCGTGAAACAAAACGAGACATTCATAAAAGTACTCATTTCCGTATTAGGTCTCATTTATTACAATCAAATTTCAGCTCCTAGAAATTATGATCCCAATTTACATCCGTTCGAGTCTGCCAGAGAATATGTTAGAGCTTTAAACGCTGTTAAACTAGAGCGAGTATTTGCAAAACCATTTGTAGGAAGCCTAGATGGTCATCGTGATGGCATTTCATGTTTAAGTAAACACCCAAAGCAACTCTCAATTCTTTTAAGCGGATCGTACGACGGAGAAATTCGAATTTGGGATGTGCCACAAAAATTATGTATACGTAGTTTCGTGGCGCACGATGGAATTGTCAGGAGCATTACTTACGA